GCCCGCCGTCAGCAAGGCCCGTGCCGCCGCCGGGCGACGCAGCGCCCGGCTCCACCGATGCCGCCGCCGCCTCCGCTTCCGCCGTTGCTTCCGCCGCCGCCGCCGCTGCCGCTGCTGCCGCCGCCTCTGCCGCCCTTCTCGCCGCAATCTCTGCCGCTGCCACCGCGTCGGCCTGTGCCGCCTTGGCTTGTGTCTCGGCCTGTGCCGCCTCCGCCTCAATCGCAGCGGCATCGCCCGCATCGCCCGCATCGTCCACTGCCTCCGCGCTGGCCGCTGTCTTGTAGGGCGAGCCGAGGTAGCCGGAGCTGTGCGAGCGGGCCGTCAGACGGGACGGCGACTGGGGCGAGGGGGTGGCGCCGACGGCGCTGCGGCGCGTCACGTACCCTCGCAAGTACTCCTCCTCCGAGTCCTCCTCCACGTCCGCCACGGTGGGAGGCGACCACGGGAAGGGAAGCTGCGGGGAGAGCACGTCGCACGTTGGCTCTGCCACTGCAGGCGTCGCTTGAGCGGGCTCCGCCCTGTCCGGCCCCGGAGGCGGCGAGACGTCCGCGGCGGAGGCCTTTCCGAACTCGGTGCCAGCGTTTCCGAACTCAGCGCGAGCGTCCGCGGCGGAGATCTTTTCGAACTCGGCGCGAGCGTCAGCGGCGGAGATCTTATCGAACTCGGCGCGGACGAACTGGCGCACCCTCCGCGCCGATGCGATGCCACCACCAGCACTCCGGCTCCAGCTCCGGCGGGTGCGGCGCCGTAAGACGAGAGAAACCAATAGTGCGCCAAGCAGGGAGAAGAGGAGCAGCTCCCACGCCGGCGCCGTACCGGGCGATTGCGGGAGGGGCGGCGGCGCGGGGCGTCGCTGCCGCGTCAGACGAGCGCCAAGCAACTGGCGGGCCCGCGCAGGCATGCCCAGCCAGTACCCGGACCAGGTTCGTTGTGAAGAGCTGGGGCGCGCCACCCAAGAGCCTAGGTAGGTGCGGATCGGCAAGAGCGCAATCGATCTTTTTGCCCTCTATCACCTTGGGTTGTAAGAACTTGAAACACACCACGCAGGGGCACAGCAAGCACGGATAGCCGTTGAGGAGAAAGGGCGTAAGGTGTATGCGCAGCCACGGCCGTGCCGCGGTGGGCGCGCCACCTCCCGCGAGCGCGGCGGGATCGGAATTGCGGCCGGAGGGAAGGGCGAGCCGCCGCCGCCGCCGCCATATACCATCAGCGACGACGACCGCGGCTCGCCCCAAACGCCAGGCGCTGGATCGGCAGTAGGGCTTGGGCGGCGCAGCGTAGGCCTCGAGCCACACGAGTCGCCGACAACCCCCCCTCATCGACGTGATGGCCGCACCCGCTGCCGGCCGATGCAAGCTGCCGCCTCCACCGCACCAGCGATACTGGCCGCGGCTCGCCGCCACGCGCCGGCTCGGAAGAGGGGCTATCGGCGGCGCAGCAGAGCGGCATGCGTCATCATTCGAGCAGCACCAGGTCCCCTCTTCGACGTGACGGCCGCTCCCGGAGCCGGCCGGTGCGCGCCCGACCCACGCCCCCTCTCGCACCCCCCCGATCCCCCTGCGCGGCGCCCCCTCCACTGCGCGCCGGCTCGAGCGCCTATTGCCAAATCGCGACTTTCGAGCGCAGTGCGTGCGCCCCACACGTCACGCGAGCGCAGGAGAGTTTGCGGCAGAGCAGTACCGTGTACTAGCCGGAGGCATCGCGCCGAAAACCCCGCGCATTCCGCCCCAACAGAGGCTGCAGGAGGCAGATGGCCAATAGCGACGATCGTTACGAAATGTAGCGTTACCGGGAGCTCTCCAAGCTGTCTTGGGTGGTCAGCTAGCGAGAGAAAGAAGAATTTTAGGACGTTCCTCGCACAACACGGTGGCGGCGTGCAGAGAGAGAGAGAGAGAGAGAGAGAGACAGAGATTAATATTAACCTTGCGAACTCGTCCCCCCCGGCAGGGCTATGCAACTGTGACCAGTGTGTGCTGTCTACGCCTGAACCAGGTGTCAAATCTGCCGATGCGTGACCTGTGCGTGGGCTGCTCTGTGAGGGGTCCAGGCGTAGTCCGACGGGTAGGGGGTCTGTGCCCGGGCGGTGTCCGGTGCGGAGTCTCTCTCTGATCCTGCCTGGGATGTTGGGTGCGAGGTGTGGCGGCTTCGATCCCAAGGGGGGGAGCTGATCCCACTCGGTAACCAACTCTCAGGGGCAGTAGGTGGGCGAGCTTCAAGCGCGCTCATCTCGATCGTCAAGGCGTCGCTACGCGCGGTCTTCCGCGGGGGGAGCTTCGTCGACGGGTGCGGGACCGCGGCGCAGACAGTGCTGCGGCGATGCCTCCGGCTGCTGCGGAGAGTGGCTTGCTGCTCGCTGCGATGGCGAAGAACTCGTCTCGTCACACGCCAAGGGCTTATGCTCTGTCGAGACGTGAGGCGTATGCGCCCAGGAGGGGAGGGCGCATGCGTAACGACGCTGCTAGAGATGCCTTTCGGGGCCCAGAGATAAAACTTCTGATGCCATGCGTGACCTAGTAGTGTCCCCAGCTATGGGCGTGTCCACGTTGGAGCCAGGTGTGGTGTGGACGCGAGAATAGCTCCGCCGTTCATGGAGGCAACCGATGCGAGTCGACTGGTGTGTGTCGTCGTGGTTTCGTATCAAGAATTCTCTCTCTCTCTCGCGGCGTGCAGTCCTCCCATCCCTCCCTTGGGGTGATGTTTTCTTTCTTTACTGGGCACGGGTACAAGATCCTGCTCGTGCAGGTGGGGACCCTGTCCTTCTCCCACCCCTCGTTTGGCGTGCGCGTTTTATTTATTGCTGCTGTCTCGCTCGCTCGTGCGTCCTTGGAAGTTGTGCGCCTCCTTCTCCTATGAGCTCGTATGCCACGTCGCCGCCTGTGTTTGGGTTTCTATGTTTGCGATTTGGAATTTGGTATTTGTCCAGCTCTTTGTTTATTTATTTATTTACTGGGCACGGGACTGGCGCGCACTGGCACTAACACAGGCACACCACTGGAGCCGCCTAAGCGACTCCCGCGAGGACGGCGAGGCACTTAGCTCCGTGCACTCGACCGCCCTCGCCGCAGAAAGAAGAAAATTGAGAACCCAAACGAGGATAGGGGAGGAGGACAGGGTCCACACCTGCACGAGGGGGCGGCGGCATGAGTCTCCCACATACTGTGCGGGCCTCACTAGAGGTGCGGCCTGCGCGTGTCCTCGCCCTTGGGCTTGGGAGAAGGTCTTGAGCGGCGAGGGGAAGGGGTTGTGTGTCTGTGCATGGCATGCATGTGTGCAGTACAGCTAGCAGGCTGGGTAGCGCGAACGGGTTTTTTCTTTTCCCAGCTCGCTGTATACACGTGTAGTAATCCAAGCCCTCGGTGTGCGGGGTGCGCGCGTGCGCGGATGCCACGTCAGTGCATGCGAGAAAGAGGACACTAGAGAGGGGGGGGGGGGGGTCACTGCGCCTTCTGCCACTCTCGGATCATCCGACGCAGCGAGTGGTTTGGGAAGATACAAGTGTGGTCGAGCTCGCCGCCCGTCAGAGGACTCGTCGACTTGGTCGCGAGCCAACGCTCGATCGCCGTCCGCTCGTATGAGTGCCCATCCGCCGCCATCACCGGGTCGCTCATCACCTCGGTCGTGATTGGGCAGACGAAGTCGTCCGGCGGCTCCTCCTCCTCCACCGAAGGCGGCCTCTCTGCAGCCAAAGAGGACGACGCTTGCTCGTCGGGCGCCCGCCTCTCCTCCAGCCTCGCGCTCTCCTCTAGCGCCGCCGCCAACTCTGCCTCCTCTCCCGCCGCCAGCGCTGCCTCATCCTCGGGCTCCCGCGACGGCCCAGCGCCTCCACCTCCGCCCTTCCCCTTCTTCTTCTTCTTCTTGCCCTTCTTGCTCTCCTTGTCGCGCCCCCCCGCCTCCTTCTCCGCCTCCTCCTCCGCCAGCAGCGCCTCGGCATGCCGCGCCGCATCCGCCTCTGCCGCCGCTCTCTCCGCCTCCCTCGCCGCTGCCTCCGCCTCCGCCTCCGCCGCCGCATGCTCCTCGAAGGCGCGCACGCACTCGGCGTGGCCATTCTTCCTGGCCAGCTGCAGCGCCGTCCTGCCGCTTTCAGTGCGCAGCGTCATGTCTGCGCCCGCCCGCAGCAAGCGCCGCACGACGGCGGGGTGGCCTTGGATGGCGGCGAGCATCAGCGCGGTGCGGCCTTTGCTGTTCTGCATGTTGATCTCCGCGCCGCGCTGCAGCAGCAAGTCGACCACTCGCTCGTGGCCGTGAGCGGCGGCTAGCATCAGCGCGGTGCCGCCTTCGCTCCTCTGCAAGTTGGCATCCGCGCCGCGTTGCAGCAGCAGCTCGACCATCCGCTCGTGGCCTCCCATGGCGGCGAGCGCCAGCGCGGTGATGCCGCTCACATCGCCTACCCCGCAAGTCGCGTTGACCCGCCCGCCGCTGTCGAGCCACGCCAGCAGCGCCGTCTCGTCGCCTCGCCCAGCCGCTCTCGCCGCCTCTGCGGGAAGGCTGCCCAACGAGCTGGAAGAGGACGCGGCACTCGCTCCCGCCGCCGCCTCGCCCGAGGAAGCGCCGCCCGCGCCGCCCGCCGCCGCCTCGCGCCGGCTCGCAGTCACCTCCGCGATGTGCTGCCGGAAGGCGTCGACGCACGCGCTGTGGCCGTTCTCCTTGGCATGCTGCAGCGCGGACCTGCCGTCCGCAGAGCGCAGCCTCGTATCCGCGCCCGCCCGAAGCAGGCGGGTCACAATGGCGGCGGCGCCGTGGATGGCGGCGCTCATCAGCGCGGTGAGGCCGTCGCTGGCCTGCAGGTTGATCTCCGCCCCGCGCTGCAGCAGCAGCTCGACCACCCGCTCGTGGCAAAAACCGGCGGCTAGCATCAGCGCGGTGACGCCGTCGCTCATCTGCTGGTTGATCTCCGCGCCGTGCTGCATCAGCAGCTCGACCACCCGCTCGTGGCCTTTGAAGGCGGCGTTCATCAGCGCGGTGTCGCTGTCGCTGTTCCGCAGGTTGATACCCGCGCCTCTCTGCAGCAGCAGCTCGACCGCCCGCTCGTGGCCGTGAGCGGCGGCGGTCATCAGCGCGGTGTCGCCGTGGCTGTTCTGCTGGTTGATATAGGCGCCGCGCAGCAGCAGCAACTCGACCACCCGCTCGTGGCCGTGGTGGGTGGCAAGCATCAGCGCGGTGACGCCGCTCCCATTGCCTACCACGCAAGTCGCGTTGACCTGCCCGTCGCTGTCGAGCCACGCCAGCAGCGCCGCCTCGTCGCCTTCCGCAGCCGCTTGCACGGCCTCTTTGGGAAGGCTGCCCAGTAGGCCGGAAGAGGCCGCCTCGCCCGAGCATGCGCCGCCCGCGCCGCGCGAGCCGGGCATCCCCTCTCACAGAGAAAAGAATCCGCGGCCGCGACTGCCCATACCGCGCCGGCGTCCCAGGCGGCGATCTTGAGCTTAGGCGGCTCCCGTGGTGTGTAAAATGAACTCGGGGGCACGGGACGCGGCACAAACGGGGCACAAACGCCAGGCTACAAACACGGGAGGGCAAGTGTGTTGACCCCGCTTTACTTTTGCTCAGGCTTTTTCGCTGGTTATTGTTCCCTCTCGCACTCGGCGAACGAAGCAGGCGGACGCTCCACGGCCGGCGTGGGGATATGGACACATCGCGGCCCGCGCAGGCGCCGGCTCTGTCCCGTCCCTTCTTTTGGACCTCCGCAGCTCTCTTCCTGGCCATTGCCCCCCTCGTCCCGACTGTTGTGGGACTACTCGGTCAAGCCTTGATTGCCGTTCCAGCCGTCACCGTGTCACCACATACTAGACCACATAGCGAGTCAGGCAAGTCCGTCGTACTTGCGGAGAGTCGCGTGTTCATTCGGTTCATCCCGCTTGCACGAATAGGGCCAGCTTACCCGCCAGCATTTCGCGCCCTCTGTTGGCCTCGCTCTCGATCAAATCGCTAAGGGCCACCCACATGCGCGCCCCATCGACCGTGATGCCGGTGCCCACGACCCCGTTTCCTGCCGCAGGGCTGCGGCTGCGCGTCGCGATTGCGATTTGCTGCACGAGGTGGAAAGCCCCATTGTACACCCGCACACAAAACTCGTCTTGAGAACTCACCACAGGCTGCTGCGTCATCTCAGATCGCACATCAATGATGGAGATGCCGGCGTTGCGCCCGGCGTCCCATCCATGGCCAGCGCAACTAACAAACAGATGGCCGTTTAGGTAGGCCAGCGCATGTGCTCCGGCGAACGGGTGGGTACGATCAGGGTTGATGCCGTCGTGCGGCTCCCAGACCGCCGCGTCGCGTGTGCGTTTGTGCTCGGCGTCACTGTGGGCTCGCTCGCGGCCGCAACCGCACTCGGCCGCCACCGAGGCTGAGAGAGACTTCGCGCCGGTTCATCGGGCCAGTGCGCAGTGGGGTTCAACCCTCTCCTTTTACCCATCTCTATGGATAGAGCCGTACAGTAAGTACAGTCTGCCTGCAGCCTGGTTACATACCCTGACATCCATGAGCTCCCATCGACACATATATTCCACATCGGGACTTGCTCCTTTTACCACTCTCCTGCAGGCTCATGTAAAGAGCTAGAGCTGTCCCTTTTCTTTAATTATTGTTTTTATTTCACATCCTTCATCGATACACACATGGCCACCCCCAACGGCCAGACCGCTCGCTTAAGGCTGATTGGCTAGACGAGCGGTCTACCTCCGACGGGGCGGTCTGGATCACGGGGGATGACATCCTGCCTCCCGGCACGCCGGGAGGAGGTGGTTGCTCCGCCGCCGGACCCCCCCCTCCACCACCCTCGCCCAGGGATCTACAACGCTCGCGTCGCAGACGCGGTACCATTGACAAATCTGCAATATACCCACACACGAACAAATAGCAAAATCCGAATACCGTGCACGAACTCGTGGACGGACGCAAGCCTTCAGCTGGTGCCAAGACATCCGTAAAATTGAAGCCAAGAACGTCCGCCAAATCCGTGCTTTCGGAGCAACTGAGGGAAAGCCGCTGATCGAGCCCAGCGTGCCCGCGGCCGCCTCCCGCGCAGCACCGCCGCTGGGGACGACACGCTGCGGAATCGGATCAAGCCCATGCAAGGGCAAAGAAGGACGCTGCAGAAGCGGTTGGAGAGGCAGCCGGCGTCTGCCGTCACAACGAGTCCCAGCACTGGTTGGACATGCGCGTCGGCTCGCCCGAGGACTGCTATCGCGACCCTCCCGTCGTGCCGCAGCCTCCGACGAGCTCTGCAACCGAGGAGAGTGAGGGTGCGCCTCCCCTCACTGCTGGCCTGGCTGCGCACCGCCCCACAAAGCACCCCCTCGAGCATCTCTACAAGTACAAGTACAAGGGCGACCTTCTCCAAGTCGTCAACGCGCCCGGCTCCGGCAAGACTTTAGCCTTGGCCACCCTCCTTGCGGAGCAGGAGGAGATCCGCTCTCGGTCGGCAACGTGGCAGCTAGTCGAGGGACTCGGTAGTTGTGACCCCCCTGAGTGAGGACAAGGAGAGAGCTTTTGTGGTGTTGGTGTACGCAATAACGGGACAGGGTGGTCGTTCTCTCTAGCTCCCCTTCTAGCTCTTGGCATGAGCTGCGCCATGTGTCCGAACCCTTTTTCGCAGCAACACCTTACACTTTTACGCCCTCCAAATTCGGGTCGGCGCGTAGGCCGTAGGCGTAGCGGAGTGGGCCCCGAGTTTGCAAAGGGCGACGGACGCTTGCGTCCTAGCCTCCAACAACGCCTCCCCGGCGCAGAGGGGCCCCCGGAGGGATGCTCAACCGCTCCACGCCACGCCGCTTGCGGCGGTCCTATTCCCAGCTCCGCTGAGGGGTAGGTAGGTAGGTAGTAAGGTGAAGAACAGCCAGGCTCGGACTGGACACCAACGCGGTATGGGTGGACGCTGGACAGATGATGACGACACGCACGAGCGACACACAGACACAAACAAGCTCACAAGACACACAGCCAGCTGGCTGCCACACACCCTGAGTCGGCGTACACATAACTCAGGGCCACATCCTCCCTGTCGCCCCCCCCAGCACTCCACGGTGCCAAGGGCACAAACAAGGGCACAACTCAAACAACAGACGACAAGAAGTGACATGTGAGGCTAGAGCAGGCGTGCTCCACCTCTAGCAATCTCGCCGGCCGGCGAGGCACGGACGAGACCGTATGTGGGGTCTAGTGAGGTGTCTATGGACGCTCTCCTCATGGGCTAGCTGCCTACGGCTAGCCCTAGTCTCGCACTCACGGACAGTGACAATCAAATGGGTGAGTGTTTGCGAGCTGAGGCGCGTGTGCTAAATCTAGGCCGCACGTCGTGGCACTATGACGGAGGTAGACGTGCGGCCGCATGAGGGGGCCCGCGGATTTAAGAATTCTTGGTCAAAACCTCACTGAACGCCCGCGAGCCAGGCACCCCGCCGGCTGATTTCGGCCGCACCCGCCACCTCGCCGCATCGAGCGCGGTACCCGTTTTGCATTGGCGAGCCTCTCCTCCGTGCCTGCATGTGGCGACGCCTATCCCGCCTGCGTCAGCGCGGCGCTCACGGCACCGACGACTGGCTCGAGGACTTCTTGCACCTCAGCAAGCAGCAGACGCTGCTCCGCTTCGACACGGCGGGCTGGCGCGACCGGTGGTCCCTCCACTGCGACGCCGAGTACGGCGGCAGCTCGACCGTCGAGCTGCAGCAGGGCGAGGCTGAGGGCGAGGGCACCGCCCGCTTTGCCGGCCAAACGGTGACAGAGATAGACAGCGATAACTCGTCAGTCAGCCCAGAGACGGGTAAGCGAGCGGTGTACGCGGGCTGGGCCGCGATGCGGACGGACGTCGAGGGCGACGGCTGGGACCTCAAGGACTTCCACGGGATCCGGCTGCGGGTGCGGCCGGACGGGCGCGGCTACATGCTCAACCTGCGGACGGTGGGCATCCTCGGCGGGGAGGACGTCGACATCTACCAGGCGCGCATGCCTCCGTCTCCGGTCCTGGGCGACTGGTGCGAGCTGCGCCTCCCCTTCTCCGCCTTCGTGCTCACCTCCCGCGGCTACGTGCAGCACAGCCAGGCGATGAACCTCGAGACGCTCAAGGAGGTCGGCCTGCTCGTCGCAGACAAGCAGACGGCGCCCTTTGAGCTCGAGATCGCCGAGGTCGAGGCGTTTCGCTTCGAGGACGAGGAGGCGCAGCCCCCCCGCCCGCGCAGCGCTTAGCGGCGGCGGCGGCGGAGGCGGCGCGGCGGCGCGGCCCCGCACGCGCGCAAGCCACTGCACCGTCCATTCCCCTCCCGCCGGTGTCTCGCGCGCAGGCGGAGCGGGACGCGAAGGTTGCAGAGATGCTGCGGCTGAACGAGGCGCGAGCTCCCCCTCGCGGCATACACTGGGCCCGCCCCGGCAACCCCCACCACCCCACGCCACGTCCTCACTGGTGCGCTCAAGCCCGCTCCCTCCCCACGACCACAGGAGCTCGGCTACGCGGGCGTGTAGAGGCGCTTTCTCGTCCCCGTTCTCTTTATGCATAGATTATTGTAAAAAGAAAGAAAGAAAACAGACAAACCAAACGAGGGATAGGGGAGGAGGACAGGGTAAATAAATAGATAAAAAACGGGTCAAAACTCTGAGACGAGATCTGAGACGAGATGAGGACCTATTTTACGCCACACGCGGCCACACGAACGAGTGGGTGCGAGGACGGCTCGGCGAGGGGCTCACGGCGGGGTCGCACACGGCAGGGGTGACGGGGCCGCTGTGGAGCGATGTGGTCAGGGGAACGACGAGACACAAATGGGACAAGCGCCAGCGGATCGAGGATCAGCACGGCGAGCGCGAGATTGAATTCGCCGATGTGGATGATCATAACGTGGTGACAAAGACCGTCATGGGAGCGCGGGTGCGGCAGCAGGCGGGGGTGCCACACGGAGCGCACCACGAGAGGACTATGCGGGGAGAGGCGGGGAGAGAGAGACCCCGGGCGCCGCCACAAGGAGCGAACTCAGGGGCTGCCTCGTCTGTAAGGCCGCGAGGGACGCGGCGAGGAGGGCAGCACTAAAGCGAGACCCGCTGTGTCCGATCGTGCGGAAAGCCGCGCAGCAATGGACCGAGGAAGATGAGAACCCGCCTAGAGCAACGATGGCGCACTTGCTTAGCGGCGCCTGCCTGGGGAATAGGGAGCAGGCCAGATGGTTCCTCAGAGTAGCGCGAGCGCAGACGGGGACGACGATCAGCAAAGTAGCACAGGCGGCACCCGACTCCAAGGATACGCTGAAGACGCTGAGGATGGCGCATGTCGCTGCGCTGAAGGGCTCACGCTATAGGGTGCTGGATGAAGGACGGGTACGATGCACTAGCCCCAGCCGTCGGGGGGGTGTTGCCGGCGCTGGTAGATGATCTCTCGGAGAAGAGTCGGAGGGACCTTGGCGCCCGGGTCACGAGGAACTTGCAAATCGTGGCCGAGGCGGCGACGGGAGCGGTGCAGAGGTGGATCCAGCTCAATGGTGAGGCTACGGCGCGCATAATGAAGAGAGAGGAACACATCGAGTGGCTGAGGAAGCTCTTCACTGGGTGGAAGGAGGCCCGGCCGGCCTTGAGGGAGTCGCGGAGGAGGAGGGATAACGGAGGTAACGTGCAGACAGGCCAGCAGCCAGTGGGACGAACGAGGGCCGCGACGGCGGCTCAAGCGGGAGGGAGCGGAGACGGTGGGCAGCGAGCGAAGTGGGTGAGACTGACGATGCTCCTTCGACCTAGGGAGCGGTTCAGCTGCTGGGCGGGCTTCAGGATGGTGCTCACGCGAAAGGGAATCGACGCGATGTACAAAGCATACAAGAAGGGGAGAAAGAAGAGGAGGGACGCCAGTGATGACGAAACAGAAACTAGCGCAGAAGAGAGCAGGGCAGACCCGGGGACGGCGGAGCCGGACCAGACGGCATCGGCCGCCGAGGGAACGTTGGGAAGAGGCACGAGGAGGGCGGCGACCTCGACCGACTATGGAGGACCCGTCGCCAGACGACGCAGGGCAGAAGACGGTGAGGCGGAGCAGACGCGCAGGGCGAGACGAGGGAGGGAGGAGGACTTTGCGGAGATCAGCAGGAGGATGTACGAAGAGATTAGGAGCAGCAGGGACCCGAGGGACCATGTGTGGACCAAGACGGCTAGTGCTAGTCCCCCATCGGGAGGACGACCCCGGCTAGTCGCCGACCACACCCACAAAGAACCCTGCACAAAGATCGCAAGGGCGGGGACCTGTTCCTTTTTACCCATCTCACAGTAGAGGTGTCCGTTTTTATTTATTTATTTATCTGAGACGAGATGGGATTTAGGGACATGTGTCCCCGCCCTGCACGATCTTGGTGTGAGGGATCTTCAATCCGTCCCCTCCACCCCTCCCCACCTGCACGAGCAGGATTTTGGAAGGACGATCAGGGGCACAGGTGGGCTCTCCTGCTCCTGACAAGGGACACGACAGGCTCGCAGCGCGGTGCACGGTGGAATCCCAACTCCACTGGCGGTCTCATCTCAGTCTAGCGACCTTCCTCCGGCTTCTCACCGGCAGTCTCTCACTACCACGGGCACACTGACACAGGGGTGGCAGGGGCGGCGGCATGAGTCTCCCACATACTATGCGGGCCTCACTAGAGGTGCGGCCTGCGCGTGTCCTCACCCTTGGGAAGGTCTTGAGGGGGGAGGGGAAGGGGCTGTGTGTCTGTGCATGCATGTGTGTGTGTGTGTGTGTGTGTGTGTGTGTGTGTGTGTGTGTGTGTGTGTGTGTGTGTGTGTGTGTGTGTGTGTGTGTGTGTGTGTGTGTGTGTGTGTGTGTGTGCGAGCCGCCCTGAACGCCCCCACGAGATTATTGGCATAAAAGAAAAGAAAGAACCGACAACCCTAGGGAGGGATGGGAGATTCTTGCAATATTGCCTGGCCTTGTTTTTGAAAATTCTTTTTCTCGTTCGGCCGCTGCTGGCCATTTGCCACGCGCGTGCTTGCGCGCAAAACATACCGCTCTCCCCCCCCCACCGCCACGCAGGAGTACACCTGGATGGATGACGAGAAAAGTCGCCCACGCGCGGCGCTGCTGCTCATCGGCGCCTTGGGTGCAGCGGCCGGCGTCTACCTCCTGAGCGGTGGCAGCGGCTCGTTGGCGCACTCGGGAACGCTGGCTGCCTCCGTTGAGCCCCGGCAGCAGGTCGTGAGACACGTTCCAGAGGCAGTCGCGGCGGGATCGTCGACGATGCGCCAGCACAACCGGCGCAAACACAGTGCCAAGGCGTTTGATAAGCTCAGAAGCAGGGAAGTGCTCGAGGCGGCGGCGGATCCAAACTCAATGTTTGACATGAGCACCCCGTGAGAAGAGAGATGCCTGCTGTACGTGCGGTGCAGCGCCTCACACCCTGCACCCGAGACACTCTCAACCGTGTCTCAGATCTGTGCGTGAGATCTGAAATTAAGTCTGCGGTACGTGCTGCGCCTGGACAAGCGACCTAGATAGAGCCGAGCGTGAGGAGGAGCCTGACTGTTCTTCACCTTCCTACCTACCTACCTACCTAGGAGGAATGCTGTGCGATCTCGGGCCCGGGGTCGTGCTTTTGTGTGAGCTGTGACGTGTGAGGTCACAGCTCATCACACATCACAGCGCGGCGGTGCGCACACAACCTCACAAGCTCAGGCCCCGAGCGTTTTTGACCTCTCTCGGTGAGTGGGCGCCCGCCCGTCGCCTCTGAGGCGCGCTGCGCGCCGCCTAGAGGACGACGACAGCCTGGAGGATGTCACATGTTGCGCGCGATGTGTGGCGAGCGTCATCCATTTCGTCAAGCCACCTTCATCGTGACCGTCGCCACCCTCGCCGCTGTCTCGCCTACGTCGCCGCCGTCGCCATCATGGGCCTCGCTGCCGAGACGGTCTCTGGGGGGGCGCGGGGGCCCTAGAGGGTACCCATGCGGGGGAGAGATGGGGTCCCATGGCCCGCCGCAGGCGCCGATTTTTTCGAGATTTTTTGCCCGATTTTTTTACTTGTTTTATGGGAACTCGGCGTATTGCGGCCATGCTATCACGCCTTGCGACAGCCTGTCGGCGCTGCTGGCCGTGTCCTGCTGCACAACTGACCGCCTGCATAGCTCGCGGCCTTAGTATCAAGCATTCAGTGACGACCTGATCGTACGGCCAGTAGGAAGGTGCCCTTCCAGCTGCGTGCACGCTTCTAAGCATCCAAGCTACCATGCCGCATGCGGAATCGGCCCATCCAGTGCTCAAGTGCTCAAGCTCGAGTGGGACTCGAGCCTAAGTGAAAGGCAGGCAAGGATCGAAAGAAAGAAGAGAAAGGAGGGACGGGAGGACGGCACGCCGACATTGGATAAAGAAAGAAAGAAACGAGGCGCCCAAGGGTCCAAGGGAGGGATGGGAGGACGGCACGCCGCCACCACACAGGGATTTTAAGGAGAGGGGTGTATGCGCTAGCATTGATCAAGTACTTGGGAATTTCTTTTGGATCCACCCGAGTGCAGTCAGCAGCGCCGACACATCAGCCGCCAAGTTCACATGCAGCGCGAAGTCGCAGTCTACCGCGATGTCCTGCACCCCTCGCTGCTGGCTGCGGTTGTCCAGGCCGTCAACGTGTATCTCGACAGTGAGCAGCCGCCACTGCCAGACTCAATGCATAGAACGCTCTGCGCCACTCACTGGGCGCCGCTCACGGACGAGGAGCCAGCGGCCCATCCGATCGAGCAGCTAGTCGCCGCTCTCTACCGGCTCATTCGACGCGGGGCATCCCCACTACATGCGGACGAGGCCGCCGGGCTCGCCGGCGGGGAGTGGTGGGTGCAGGAGCAGGCTCTGGACGACTGTCCAAAGGAGTTCCACACCGACCAGGACCTCTGCCTTCTCCCGGGCCGAGACGGCGTCCAGAGCAGCGTAGCGCACCCGGCGCTATCCTCCGTCTTTTACTTGGACGGTATCGGCGGCGCGACCGCCGTCTTTGCGCAGCGGCGGTGCGTTGTTGCCCGCGGCGTCTCCACGCTAGAGCCTCCTCTCCCTCCGCACGCAGCGCTCGCCTTCCCGACGCCGAACCAGCTCCTCCTCTTCCGCGGAGATCTCCTGCACGGCGTGCTGCAGCCGCTCGGCACTGCGCGCGGCCCGCGGCCGACAGACGAGGCCCCGAGGAGGACGGTCCTCGTCAACTTTTGGAACGACCGCCCCTCCGCGGCGCACGCGCCAGCGCCTCCGCTGCCGCCGCCCCACGCTGCCGACGAGCGGCGGCCGGCCTCGCCCTCTTGCGCCGACTTCGTGCAACTGCCCGCCTCGAGCAGCTTCGAGGCGGAGCGCTGGCGAGAGCAGAGGCTGCCGGAGACGGCGGTGGGCTCTCTGCCGAAGGGGGAGGGGCCGCCCCCCCCCGTCCTCCTCTCCTTCTCGAGCCGCCCGCCCGCCGACTGCGAACGCTGTGGGGCAGGCGTGTGCTGGTACGACCGGCACGACGAGACGCGGGGAGGTTGAGAGAGAAGACGCGTGTGTGTATAATCACAATATCGGACAGAGCACAATATATAACTAAAAATAGTAAATCTATTACTGATGCATGTGCATGTACTACATGTGCATGCACATGAATGGAGATTGTGGAGTGTGAGAGACGACCGCGCGGACCGCGGCTCCGCGCTCCGCGGGTGTCCGCGTGTCGAAAACGGAGACGTGTGCTATCTATATTGCGAAAACGAAACGCTTTGGAGTTTGGTATATTGTGGCGCGACGCGCCGAGTCCACACTCATTGGTGACATGGCTAACACAGTGAGAGACACTCGAGCGGAACACCCAGAGCTCAGACCAGATTTACTAAAACGTAAGAACAATCGAAGCAACAAGCACTCACGGAAGGGGGGGAGAAAATCGTAAAAACCGACGCGGCCGGGGCTCGCCGGCCTGTCCGCCCGCGTCTATCCCGCCGGTGTGGGGACCGTGAGGAACCCTCGCTCGTCGTAGTCGCCCAGCTCAAAGTCCGGCCCGCACGAGACCAAAGTCACGTTGTCGTTGTACACCAGCCAGCAGCGGCTGTCTGCAAGCCGCTCCACCCAGTGCGGCGGGAAGTGCGAGATCTGCAGGAACTGCCGCTGCGTCCCGTCGCCGCCCCCGCCCGCCGCCGCCGCCTCGCCGGCGCCAGTGAGGAGCTGAGTCACAAGGCTGTGGAACGCGTAGAGCGCCCCGCCATTGCCGTCTCCAGCAGCCTCCGGCGCCGCCGCCCCAATGCCGCCGGGCGTCACGAGCTGGTAGTCGAGCGGCGCAAACTCCGGGATGAAGAGCTGCGTCTCCGAAAACGACGCCTTCATGAGCGACTTCTTGCCCTGCCCGCCCGCCGAAGGCGTAAAGTTGAAGTGCCAGTTCAAGCTGCAGACGTCCTCGTGCGTCATGGTCGTGCGTGCCGCATCCGTCTCGGTGTGCTGGTACCGCGCGCACCACGTCGTGGCCGGAAGCCTCTCCTCCAGCCACGCCTCGCGAGCCGGAGAGAGTTTGTAGTGCGGCCAGCCCGCCCAACGCATCTCACAGAGCGCGCGCCACAGGGCGTCGGTCGGTAGCCCATGCGCACGGCGGCACGCGCTGCCGAAGCGGAGGAGGTCAGCCGCTGGCAGGAAAGCTGCGATGGACACCCACAGCTCGTCGGCGAGGCTGTCGATCGTGCTAGCCTCCTCCATTCCAAAGCGTTGTAGTTGTTGTCGCCTGCGCCGCTCTGCTGCGGTGCTGCGCCGCTCTGGCTCCAGCAATAGATTTCTTTTTGCCGTGCAGTGAGGGTCAGCCCGCAGACGCATTTTGTATACCGAGGCGGTGCCCGTGGTTTAAGGCCATAGGGTTTGGGGGTGGCCCGCCGGGTGTGGTGCTGCTCCGGCAGGGCTGCATACAACGGCGGGCCAGCCAGACGCGTGAGTCTGCGCTCGGCCGGCGCGGCAGCGCGCACCCAATGGCAACGCGGCCGTTTCATCTTTCGGCGCTCGGGCCGTGGCCCCTGGCCGAGGCCTATGCGGAAGCGGCCCGCCGCCCTGGCTCCTCGCGGGGCCTCGTCACGGGTTGAGCCGCTTCGGGTCGCGCGGGAACATCGACGACTTTCGGATGTTTGGCAAGCCGAGGAAGAGCATGACGACGCGCTCGAGGCCGATCCCGCCGCCCGCGTGCGGCATCGCGCCGTACTTGAACGAGTCGACGTACGAGTAGATGGGCGAGAGGTCGACGCCCTTCTCCTTGGCGCAGTCGAGCAGCATCTGGGGGTCGTGCACCCGCTGCGCGCCCGAGGTGACCTCCTCGCCGCGGATGAAGATGTCGTACGAGTTTGACCTGGCGGCGAGTCCACGGCGCGGTGAGGGGCGGGGGCCAGGCGCGCGCGACCGGGGCCGGGAGAGGGGCGCGCACCAGCGCGGGTCGGTCGGGTCTGGCATCGTGTAGAAGGGGCGGACCGCGGCCGGGAACTTGTCGATGATGTAGTAGTCCTGCCCGTGCAGCTCGGCGACGATCTCGCCGAGCAGCTTCTCGTCCTCGGTGCCCATGTCCTCGGTGTCGGCGTGCTCGGCGAGCGACTCCGGGCCGCGCGCGTCAAGCCGCTCGCGGATGCGCGCCCGCGCCCGCTCGTCCGTCTCGCTGTCGAGCTTCTCGGCGAGCTTGGCGGGGCCCTGGGCCAAGGGGGGCGGGAGGGAAGGGGGGTGTGGGGGAAAGGGGGCGGCGGTGGAACGGGGCGCGGGTACTTGTGGGCCCCGGATAGGGGAGGTGTTTGGGGGGGGGGGGGTCCCGGAAGGGTCCACCGCGTTGTGGGGGGGAAGTCCCCCGGGGGTTGTTGGGGGTTGGGGGGGTTTGGGGCAAGGAAGGGGTTTGTTGAAGGGCTCCAAAAAAGAGGGGCCCCCGGAAAGAAAGGTTTCCGGAAAAAGGGTGGGGGGGCCGGGGGC